GCAGACTAATAAAAGCTGTGTGAAGTGGGGGTGGGTGGGGTCGTTGGTGGAAGGGTGTGATAGTTTACAATTTAAGCCCAGCATTCAGGAGACAAAAGCAGGCTGATCTGCCTGAGTTTAAGGTCAGTCTAGATTAGATAGTGAGTCCAGACCCAGGAGCCCTATGCTGTGTGAAGAGAAAGTGCACAGCAAGAGACAAGGGATGGACCTGACTAACCAGGGCTTCAGGCCAAGCCAAAGACTGGATCTACAGAAAAGGGAGTCACCAGCTACCAGTCACCAGAGAGAATGAGAGAACCGACATGAACATCTTAGAAAATTCACTCCGCTTCCTTCCACATAGGAGGGATTGAATGGGGTCAGCTTTGCCATAGGCAGAAGAGTCAAAAAACCGAGGCAACAATCCAACTCCAAAGCCACAGAGAAACTCTATCTTGAAAAACCAAAAAAAAGAAAGAAAGAAAGAAAGAAAGAAAGAAAGAAAGAAAATCAGAATATTACAAAAAGTTAAAACAAAAAAAAAAAAAAAAAAAAAAAGAAAGAAACAAAGGAAGGAAGGAAGGAAGGTGATCCAAGGGAAGTTAGTGAAAGAGGGTGGTGGAGAGCCGAGCCCCGAGGAAGAGACACTGTAAAACGTGCAGTGCTGAAGCTGAATTCTCGGACTCCCATTGTTCTTATTTATTTCTTATGGACATACGGGCATCACTACTCTCCATTATTCCCTGAGAGCATCCTAATTCTTTTTTTTTTTTTAATATTTTTTTATTTTTGAGGGAATATCTGTTTTATCAATTTTTTTGTTTGTTTTTTCGAGACAGGGTTTCTCTGTGGCTTTGGAGCCTGTCCTGGAACTAGCTCTTGTAGACCAGGCTGGCCTCGAACTCACAGAGATCTGCCTGCCTCTACCTCCAGGTGTTGGGATTAAAGGCGTGTGCCACCACCCCCCAACTTTCTTTTGGATTTTAAAAAAGATTTATATTATTGGGGAGGGATGATGAAGAGATGGCTCAGAGGTTAAGGGAACTTGTTTTTGCAGTGGACCTGGGTTCAGTTCCTAGCACCTATATGGTGGCTCACAACTTCCTGTAACTCCAATCCTAGGGAACCTAAATCTTCTGACCTGTGAAGCCATCAGGCACATACATGGTGCACATACATACATGCAGGCAAAACACTCATACAAATAAATGAATTTTTAAAAATATTTTACATAACAAATATATATATACATATACATATATATTGTTTGCTTGTTTTTCTAGACTGCGTCTCACTCTGTAGCTCTGGTTGGCCTGGAATGCACAGAGATCCTCCTGCCTCTGCCTCCTGAGTGCTGAGATTAAGTGTACCACTATACTCAGTTTATAAATTAATTTTAATGTATTTGTGTAGTAAGGAGGCCATTTGTTTGTTCCTGGCCACTTTGCCCTGAAATAATCACACAGAAACTGTATTAATTAAATCACTGTTTGGCCCATTAGCTATAGCTTCTTATTGGCTAACTCTCACATATTTAACCCATTTCTATTAATCTGTGTATCATCACGTGACTGTGGCTTACTGGCTAAAGTTCCCGTGTCTGGTCTCCAATGGGACTACACTGCTTCTCTCTGACTCCACCTCCTTCCTCCCAGCATTCAGTTTAGTTTTCCCATCGAGCTCTGTTCCCCTATAGCTCTGTTATAGGCCCAAAGCAGTTCCTTTATTAACCAATGATAGTCACAGCATACAGGGGGGAATCCCACATCATATATGTGTATATGTGTGTATGTGGGGTTAGGTACACATGTGAGCACAGCTGCTTGCAGAATCCAGAAGACAGTGTCAAATCTCTTGGAGCTGGAGTTACAGATGATTGTGAGCTGAGCAACATGGGTGCTGGGAATAAACCCAGGTCCTCCGTAAGATTAATTCGCACTCTTAACTGCTGATCCACCTCTTCTGCGGCATTCTAATGCTAACAGCTTCCCTACGGACTATACAAACCTAATTCACTAATACTGTTGCTTTATTATTCCAACTTCTCTTCTGGGACCTGAGAGTCTTCTACAGAGTATACCCTCTGCCACCCCATAACCCCTGACAATACTGTAGTTCAAGTAGCTCTGGTTCCCTGCCTGTCCCCAAGGAAGTGAACTCTGGGCAAACTGCTTCCCCAGTGTGGTGATTTGGAAGAAGAACCCCAAAAGGTAATAGCACTATTAGGAGTTAGCCTTGTTGGAGTAGGTGTGGCCTTGTGGGAAGAAGTGTGTCACTGTGGAAGTGGGCTTTGGAGGTCTCATAGTTGCTCAATTCACACCCAGTGTCTCAGTTCACTTCCTATTGATTGCTGATCAAGATGGACTCTCAGCCCCAGCCTGGATGCAGCCATGTCACCATGAGGATAACAGACTAAACCTCTGAACTGTCAGTGAGCCATCTCATTAAATGTTCTCCTTTATAAGAGTTTCCATGCTCATGTCTCTTCACAGCAACAGAAACCCTAAGACACCCAGTAACACTATAAGCTCCTTAGGAGTAAGAATCACTGTTGTTTATCTTACAATCTCAAGCACCTTCTACTGTGCTTAATAAATAGGCATTAGAGCCAGGCAGTCATGGCACATGCCTCTAGTCCCAGCAGAGGCAGATCTCTGTGAGCTTGAGGCCAGCCTGGTCTGTAGGATAAGTTTCAAGAGAGTCATAGCTGTTACACAGAAAAACTCTGTCTAAAAAACCAGACAGACAGACAGACAGGTAGGTAGGTAGGTGTTAGAAAATAATTGAATACATAATTTTGGTTGGTTTCTAGAGATTGCTTTTGTTTTGTTTTTTTGAAACAGTCTGTCTTAGGGTTTTTATTGCTGTGAAAAGACACCATGACCATAGCAACTCTTATAAGGAAAACATTTGATTGAGGGGGCTTCCTTATAATTTCCAAGGTTCAGCCCATTATCATCATGGCAGGGGTGGCAGCATACAGGCAGACATGGTACTGGAGTAGTAACAGAATTCTACATCTTGAAAGCAACAGGAAGTTGACTGAGACACTGGGTGGTATCTTGAGCATAGGAAACCTCAAAGCCCGTCCCCACAGTGACACACTTCCTCCAACAAGGTCATATTCACTTCAATAAAGCCACACCTCCCAAAAGTGCCACTCCCTATGAGATTATTCTGGCCAATTACAGTCATACCACCACAGGGTCTTTCTCTATGTTGCTCTGGTTGTCCTGGAACTTGCTAGAGAGATCAGGTTAGCCCTGAATGCTGAGTGGTGTAGGAGATCCTTCTTTCTCTGTGTTGCTTATATTGGTTAATGAATAAAGAAACTGCCTTGGCCTGATAGGGCAGAAGTTAGGTAGGTGGGGAAGATGGAACTGAATTCTGGGAGGAAGAAAGCAGAGGAAGAAAGAGAGATGCCATGGATCAGTCCAGAGACAGACACTGGGAATTTTACACAGTAAGCCACTGCTTGTGATGATACACAAATTAATAGAAATGGGTTAAATTAAGATGTAAGAATTAACCAATAAGAAACTGGAGCTAATTGGCCAAGCAGTCATTTAATTAATACAATTTCTGTGTGGTTATTTCGGGGCTAAGCTAACCGGGTGGCCGGGACAAACAAGCAGCCCTCTCCTTGCAACAGCTGAGACTCACTTGATTCTGCTGAGTGTTGTGATTAAAGGTGTGAGTCGCCATGCCTCAATGGGTTTTTTTTTGTTGTTTTGTTTTTGTTTGTTTTGTTTTTCGAGACAGGGTTTCTCTGTGTAACAACCCTAGCTGGCCTCAAACTCACTCTGTAGACCAGGTTCTACAGAGGCTGGCCTTGAACTCAAAGAGATCAGTCTGCCTCTACCTCTCAAGTGTTGGGATTAAAGGCATGCACCACCACCACCCGACTTGTTTTGTTTTTAGTATAATACTCAGGGCTTTGCAAATACATGTGCTCTACCACTAAGCTCTGCTTGGCCAGTACATAAGTGTAGAGCAGACAGGATTCGTGAGAGTACCACTTACAGCTCAGCATTCAACAGCCATTTATTGTCAGTACTTTGACTGCTTAGGAGGCTCTGCAGTCACCAGTGATCACTGCAAATAGAAACCACTGTTTAGATTTATTTATTTTATGTGTATGAGAGTTTTGCCTGTGTGTGTATGTATATATGTGGTGGTGGGTGTGTGTATGTGTGTGTATATATGTACCGCTTGTGCATGCCTGGTGACTATGGAGGCCAGAAAAGAGTGTCAGATCCCTTGGAACTGAAGTTACAGGTGTTTGAGCCACCATGTGGGTGCCGGGAATTGAACCTGGGTCCTCTGCAAGAACAGCCTCTTGTCAGACCCTGTTTCCTCTGCCTGTTTCACGCTTGCGGTTCAGGATGGGAACCCTCAGCTCCCTGCAGTTGTCATGCCTTCCCCTTACCATCACTGACTCTAACCCCCTGGAGCCACAAACCCAAAGAAATTCTTTCTTCTCTCAGTTGCCGTGGTTGGGATGGTTTGTCACCGTAACTCGAATACAGCTAAGTTGTTACTCTTTTTTTTCTTTAAAGATTTATTTATTTATTATGTATACAACATTCCTTCCATGTATTTTTGCATGCCAGAAGAGGGCACCAGATCTCATTATAGATGGCTGTGAGCCACCATGTGGTTGCTGGGAATTGAACTCAGGACCTCTGGAAGAGCAGTCAGTGCTCTTAACCTCTGAGCCATCTCTCCAGCCCCTAAGTTGTTACTCTTGAGCAAAGATGACAGAAGCACTGATCTGTGGACCCAAACACGTCTGTGTAGAAGGTAACTTGATGGACACATCCTGTCACTCTAGCAAAACAACGACCATAACTTCCCTTCTAGGACCTATGACCTCTCCAGCCATAGACGAGTTTACACCACCAAGTTTTGAGTTTTGTTGTTCTTGTTTTTGTTTTTAAACAGGGTCTTGCTAGATTAGCCCTGGTTATTTTTGAGTTTGTGATGCTCTTCCTATGTCTCTCTCCCCAAGTTGCTGGCATTACAGGAGCAAGCCACCATGCACGTCTGCCTTAACTGTCTAATATTTTGAATTTTTCTCTTTCAAACATCTGAGAATGAGGGTGATGGGGTAGGAGTGGTGTTTCCTTTTGTCCTTTCTCATGTACCATGTTGCTCTTTGTTTCAGCCTCAAATTTTCGAATTTTCTTACCTACTCAGCAGATGTTTGCAGTCCTTCTGAAATGTTAGGACAGGTAGGGCATGGTGGCTCATGCCTGTAACCTCAGCACTCTGCAGACAGAGAAAAGAATATTGCCCCAAACTCAAGACAAGTCTACAAGGCAAATTCAAGGCCATGTACAGTTATATTGGAGACTTTATCTTAAACAAACAAAAAAGGAGAGACTATCAACAAAACAGGTAAATATCTTTTTTTTTTTTTTTTTTTTTGGTTTCTCGAGACAGGGTTTCTCTGTGGCTTTGGAGCCTGTCCTGGAACTAGCTCTGTAGACCAGGCTGGTCTCGAACTCACAGAGATTCATCTGCCTCTGCCCCCGAGTGCTGGGATTAAAGGCGTGCGCCACCATCGCCCGGCTTGGTGTATCTTTTTTAAAATCTGTTTTTAAACTTCAGGAGAGAGAGAGAGAGAGAGAGAGAGAGAGAGAGAGAGAATGTATGTATGTTTCATTAGTGTTACTTATAGGAGCATAGATAATGGGTTATTTTGTTTGTTTTTTTGCTTTTTAAGATAGGGTTTCTCTGTGTAGCCTTGGCTGTCTTGGAACTCACTTTGTAGACCAGGCTGGCCTCAAACTCACAGAGCTCCTCCTGTCTCTGCTATATTGCAAGTTGGAGGCCAGACTGGAATGCCTGAATTATAGTTATTTACACAGATGGTACATAAGCATATACATGGATGCTCCATATTGTTAGGAAAATGCAAATTAAGCAAACATTAAATACTAGTTTGCACTTGTTGTTGTTGGAACAGTCTCATCTCTGTAGCCCAGGCTGTCCTGGAAGTCTTTGTCTCAATAATGACCCTGAACTCTTGATTCTCCTGCCCTTACCTCATGAGTGTGGAGGTTGCACCACCAAGCCTGGCCAGGCTTTTGAGTTTTGAGTTCTTCACAGTATACCTCTGGTGGGTTTTTATCTCTTGACCTCTCCTTCCTCAGTACTTGCTCTTCTCCCAGTTAAGTGTGAGCCAGCACACGCAGCAGTCTATGCTGGAAAACACAGTTTCAAACAACCAACCTCCAAAACTTCCCCCGTGCTGGGAAAGGAGAGCCAACAGCAGGAACTCTCAGTTGTTGTTGGGGGTGCAAAACTGTAGGGTCACTAAGGAAAACCACTTCTAAACATTCTCATCCTGTTCTATCCAGCAGGTACACTCACTGGAATTTATTCAAAGGGGAAATAATAATAATAATAATAATAATAATAATAATATCCACACAAAAGCCTGCACAATGACATTTATATCAGCTTTATTCATAATGGTCGAAGTTAGAAGTTACCAGAAGAAGGCTGATTATGTAAGTAGGTAAGCAGCTGTCTGGAGAATGCACTGCTGCTCAAGAATGAAAAGGAGCTACCAAAACTTGGAAAGAAATGCAAGAGCTGGGCGGGGTTGTGCACAGGGGCCATTGCAGCACTTGGGTTGCAGAAGTAGGAAGTTTGCAAAGTTCAAGGCCAGTCTCAGATATAGAGTGAGTTTGAGGCCAGCCTGGGCACCATGAGATCCCATTTCACAAATTACAAAAATCAGGCTGGAGAAATGATAGATCAGGGGTTAAGAGCACTTATTACTTTTGCAGAGAATCGGATTCAGTTCCCAGCACCTACATGGTAGCTCACAACCATCTGTAACTATAGTTCCAGGGGATCCAATGCCTTCTTCTGATCTCCACTTGCATCAGTCATATATGGGGTACATACAGATGATAGATAGGTGATAGATAGATAGATAGATAGATAGATAGATAGATAGATAGATAGATGATAGATGTACTCATACACATAAAATAGACTTTTAAAAATAAATTTAAAACTGGGTGGTGGTTGTGCACACCTTTAATCCCAGCCCTTGGGAGCAGAGGCAGGTGGAACTCTGTGAGTTTGAGGTCAGCCTGGTCTACAGAGCAAGTTTCAGGACAGCCTGGGCTACGCAGAGAATCCCTGTCTCTAGAAACAACAACAACAAAAAAGTAAGCAAAAAGAAAGAAAAACAGCAACATTTATATATTTAAAAATAACAAAAGAATGGAGAGAGGAAAAAATAAGGAACCTCAAGTCCATATTACTAAATAAAAATGTCAAAAGACTATATACTGTTTAATCCTCATATGACTTTATAAAAAGGATAAAAAACTATAGATCCAGTCAAAAGATCATTGGTGGGATAAGAGTGGGAATCAGCAAAGTAATTAGGTTGGTTAGCTGTTTTTTGCTTTTTTGAGACATGATCTCATGTACTTTAGGCTGACCTAGAATTCACTGTATAGCTGCTGATGACCTTGAATTGAAGATTCTTTTTCCTCTACATTCCTGGTGCTGAGATTACAGGCTGAGTACCTGTCTTGCTGTACAAGAGAATTTTAAAGCATTTGTGGTTGGTTTGAAAGAAAATGCCCCCCAAAGGGAGTGGCACTATTATGAGGTGTGACTTTGTTGGAGTAAGTATGGCCTTGTTGGAGGAAGTGTGTCACTGTGGGGTTAGGCTTTGAGGTCTCCTATGCTCAAATTATGCTCAGTGACACAGTTTACTTCCTGTTGCCTATGGACCAAAGATGTAAGAACTCTAAGCTCCTTCTCCAGCACCATGTCTGCCTGCATGCCACCAAGTCCCACCATGACACGAATGGACTAAACCCCTGAAACTGTAAGCCACTCCAATTAAATCTTTTCCTTTATAAGAGTTGCAGTGGTCATGGTGTCTCCTCACAGCAATAGAAGCCCTGACTCAGAGAGTGCTAACGCTACTTCATATGACATTATAAAGGTGTGCAGATAGCACTGCACTTTTTCCTGAACCTACAAAATATACTCAAAACTGGACCCTGAATAGAGCCTGGAGGCACAGGTCTATAATCCCAGCTATCTAGGAACCTGAGGCAGGAGGACCAAAGGTTCAACACTGGGCTTATAATTTAGTGGGACCCTGCATTAAAAAATACAAAAGGAAGCTGGTGTGGTGGTGCATGCCTTCGTTAACAGCACTTGAGAGGCAAAGGCAAGCAAATCTCTGTGAGACTAGCTTGAGTTCTAGGCCTGCCAGGGCTACACACCGAGACTCTGTCTCAAAAGAAGCAAACATAAGGGGGAAAGAGGGCTTGGGATATAGCTCAGTGACAGTATGCTTACCTAACATGCATGAGGCCAGGAGTTCAATCCCCAGCATGACACACACAGAAAGAGTAAACCCAGAGCTGGAGGCGTAGCTCAAGGGCAGAGGGTGTACTTAGTATGACTCTAACTGCAAGGAGTCAATCTCCAGGATCAAAGGAGGAACAAAACCAAAACTTAGCCAAAAGTGAATTGTAGGGGCTGGTGAGCTGGCTCAGCAGGTTTGTTTGCTGCCTAGCCTAACAACCTGGTTTTGATCCCCGGGACCTACAACTTGTTCTCTGACCTCTATGAATGTGCCCTGGCCTTTGCATTCACACATACACTAAATGACCATCATGGCATGAGAGCAGGCAGGCAGGGCACTGGAGCAGTAGCTGAGAGTTTACACTTGATCCACAAGCAAGAGGCAGAGGGTGCTAAATGGGAGTATCAGGGACTTTTGAAACCTCAAAGCCTTCAACCACTAACACACCTTCTCCAAAAAGGCCACACCTCTTAATCCTTCCTCAGTGGTTCCACCAACTGGGAATAAGCTATAGTGGTATAGCATTTGTGTTTTAATAAATAAAGCTTGCCTGAAGATCAGAATGCAATGCAGCCACACTAGTCAGCCATACAGGCCAGCCAGTGGTGACACATACCTTTAATACCAGCAATTATACTAGTTAGCCACAAAGGCCAGGCGGTAGTGGTACACGCCTTTAATCTAAGCAATAGAGAGGAATATAAAACAGGAGGAGACAGCTCTCATGCTCAGTCTAAGTCTGAGGATTCATAGGGGCAGGATTGCCTATTTCAGTCTGAGGGGAGTGCTAAGAGCCAGTGGCTGGTTGCTTTGCTTTTCAGGTCTTCAGCTTGAACCCCAATATCGGTCTCTGGGTTTTTATTATTCATGCTACAGCAAGCAAGCCTAGCTGGCAGTAGTGGCCTTTAATTCCAGCACTTGGGAGGCAGAGGCAGGCAGATCTCTGTGAGTTCGAAGCCAGCCTGGGCTGCAAAAGCTAGCTCCAGGACAAGCTCCAAAGCTATAGAGAAGCTATTGAAAAACAAAACAATTAAACCATATGAGCCTTTGGAGGCCACTCTCTTTCAAACCCCTACACCACGGACTGCACTGAAGTGCAGGTAGCTTGGCTGGCGTACATAAGGCTCTCCGAGGGATCCCAGGCCCAACTTGTCACCATCACTGACACATAATTTCAGACCGCATTAAAGACCCACCAAGGGCCACCATGTTGGCTTAGTGGGTACAGATGCTTGCCACGCAAGCCTGTCAACCTGAGTCCAAGCCCCAGAACCCACTTTAGGTCCAGAGGAGAAAACTTACTCCGCTGTGCCCTCCAGATGTACATGTGCCCACCAAGACATAATACATTTTTTAAAGAGCCCTAGAGACAAACACAGGCTTTACGTGTCTGTGGTTTCTGTTTTCACTAGATTTCCTACCTAATTTTGTTAACAGTTTCATTGATGTCATTCTTGAGTCATACTTAATAAACAAGGCGGGATCACTAGCAAGGAAGACAGACGAATGCAACCAGTTCACCTGCCTGAGACTAAGATGTTTTGCAACCAAACTCCCTCAGGGAGACGTGGAGAATGACTAATGATGACTTTATGCCCTACTGCTGTACAAAGAGGATGCCAGCAAGCTTGAGAGCTGGGAGCTGTAAGCAGCCCGGCGTGACCTGTTGCTATAACTACGGAGGGCAGCATGGGCTGGCAAAGGGTGACAGGCTGTGTACAAACAACTTGTACCATTGACTCAGCTCCCTGTGGTGAGTACAAGCTCTAAGAGCAGCCAGCCTTGACTGGTTCCTTGTCTTTGAAGGATAACCAGGTTTCTCTGGTCATACCAAACCACGAAGCAGCTCCTCCAAAGGATGTCAACTCTGGATAGTAAGGATGCACAAGATACCAGGCAATATCCAGGGATAGCTTAACCAATTATAAATCTTCTGTTTGTTTTTTAAAATTTTCTATTTATTTTTTTTTTATATGAGACAGGGCTTTTCTGTATAGCCCTGGAAGTTCTGGAACTCACTCTGTAGACCAAGGTGGCCTCAAAC